TCCAGAGGTCCTGAGTTCAATTCCCAGCAACCAGATGGTGGCTCACAACCATCTGTAATGAGATCTGGTGCCCTCTTCTGGCCAGCAATCATACATGCTGTATACATAATAAATAAAGAAACCTTAAAAAAAGGGGGGGGGGCAAATGATTTGAACAAATGTTCCTCCAAAGGAAGAACACACAAAAACCATGGGAAAATGTGAAGTCCCTTATTCATTGGGGCCTCCTCACACACACTTACTGAGATGACAATAACTATTGTGTTGAGGATGGCAGGACCTAGAACACTCACATTGTCGACAGAAGTGTTCAAAGCGGCAGCTACTTTGGAAAACAATTTGGCAGTTCCTCAAAATGTTTTACAGAGCTATAACATGACCCAGCAATTTCACTCCTAGGTATATACCTGCTACAAGTTATTTGCACACTGTGTGAAGGTGTGTTGCTGTGATTGGTGTAATAAAAAGTTGAACAGCCAATAGCTAGGCGGGAGCGCATAGGTGGGACTTCCAGGCAGAGAGAAAACTCTGGGAAGAAGAAAGGTGGGATTTTGCCAGCAGACTAGGAACAAGATGGGAGAGGTTAACTGAGTCATGTGGCAGAATATAGATTTTTAAAATGTGGGTTAATTTAAGCTAGTTGAGAAAAAGCCTAAGCTAAGGTCAAGCTTTCATAACTAATAATAAGTCTCAGTGTCATTATTTGCTGGCTGGCAGTCTCAACGAGAAAGTGCTACTACATATACCCTCCACCAATCAAAAATATTTGTCTGCGTAGGAACATGAAGGTGCAAATTAGCATTATTCATAACAGCCAAAAGTAAAAACCCAAATGTCCATCAACGGATGAACACAATGTGATATACCCCACAGAATGCAATGTCACTGAACAATAAAAAATTTGTTATGGGACTGAAGAGATGATTCCACAGTTAAGACACTGGCTGCTCTTCCAGAGGATCTAAGTTTGATTACCCAAATAGCAGTTCCCAACTATCCATAACTCCAATTCCAGGGACCCTGACACCCTCTTCTGGCCTCCTAGTGTACCAGGCAAGCATATGGTACACAGACATGCATGCAGACAAAACACACACACAAATAAAAAAGTTCAAACTGTGCTACAACATTGACAATATTAAGCCATCTATTATATAATTCTATTTATATGAAATAACCAGAATAAGTATAAATGATGAGTGGCTGTGAAGGCTGAGGAGTAGAAGCAAGGCTTCACTAACAGGTGGAAGGGTTTTCTTTGGAGGTTATAAGAATATACTAAAAATGGGCTGGGAGACAGCTTGGGAGAGAGAAGCACTGTTCTGCAAACATGAGCATGTGAGTTCAAATCCCCAGCACCCAGATAAAAAGCCAAGCATGGCCGCAATGCCTGTAAGTCCAGCACTGGGGTGCAGAGACACCTGAGCATTCATTGCCTAGCCAGCCTAATCTAAGTGGCAGGCTTCCCGTTTACAAGAGATTGTCTTATGGCAATAATGTCGAGGTAATAAAGGAAGACACTGGACTTCCTGCTCTGGCTTCCACATGCAAGCATTCAGGCACATGCACCCACATATGCATACAAACCCCTCCCCAAGTGAACACATATGTATACATACACATAAAAAAATTTTAAAATAGTGGTGGTGGTGGTTATGCAACTCTGTAAAGAAATTTATTTATACACAGGGTCTCACTATGTAATCCTGGCTGGCCTGGAACTATGTATGTAAACCATACCAGCCTCAAAGTTACAGAAATCCCCCTGCCTCTGCCTCCCAAGTACTGGGATTAAAGGCATGCGCCACCATTCCCAGCCTCTCTAAACACACTTTAAAATTTTCCCTTGAACTGAAAACATTGAGAAAATATGTTTTGTATATGCAAATTACATTGCAACCAATTTTGTTAATGTTTTTAAGGAAGAAAAGACTTGTGTGGGTGTGCCGTTCAGTTTGAAGGTAGAGTTTATCATAGAAAGAGAGTGACGTGGCTGATCACGTTGCAACCACAGTCAGGAAGCAAAGAGAGATGAGTGCTGGGGCTCATCAGGCTTTCTCCTTTCCCATGTTTTATTTGCTCTAAATCCCACAGCCCATGGAACAGCGCCACCCACATTTATGATAGATTTGTTTTCCTCAGTTAAACCTCTGCAAATGTCTGTTTTGACAGGTGTCTACTGTGTGATCCAAAGTCCAGGCAGGTCGAACATAAATTTAAACATAAATCTACTCTTTGTCAATTTGATACCCAAACATAATCTCTTATAAACTATACCCACCACTGGTCCTCAGAGGCACATGGCCATCTTGTAAGCATCATGCACCAAGCTCAATTCCAATCCCCCACTAAGTCTCAGCAGCTCCAACTTCATTCCAAAGTCTAAGTTCAAAAGTCTGCTCTGAGACTCAAGGTACTCTTAACTGTGAACCCCTGTAAAATGTCAAAATAAGTTACACACTTCCAGTATACAACAGCACCAAGTACTCTGCCGTCCCAACAGAGATATACGAGAGGACATGGAAGGGTCAGACTACAGCGAGATCAAACCTGAAGCTGCATGTCCAGCATCTGGTCTCCACTGGAGTTGCATCACTCTGCCCTTCCAGCCCTGTTCCCTGTGGCAACTATGGCCTCTTTCAAGGGCCGGCTCCTCTTGCTGCCTACAGGTTTCCTCAGGAAACAACCCATATTTCTGCTGTCTCCAATACCCCGCCTTACTGTTACCACTTAGACCCCACCCCTCATGTCTTCACACACAGACCAGAAGGCCCACGGAGGGATCTGACCCTGCTGCACCTTGTATGGCCTCCGTGTTAGTCTGGAGCTGTGGTGCAAGTCTTCACAAACCTCCCATGCTTGCATCTGGCATGCCTGCAAAACCTCCACTACAGGGAAGATGCCCCTGAGTTCGGCTGCCAGCTCGTGATATAACCTGGCCTCCCTGGACTATAGCAGCCTCTGCATGCCGTCATAGTTGAACCTGGAGAGAAAACTTCCTTAGGTGCCCATTTTCCAACAAGGTACACTGAAGATTGTATTTCTTTCTTACATGAAAGACATGTACTTTCAGATGAACTTGCATTCAAGGCAATATTTCTACTGCATGGTGCAAAAGTGTGAGGTTTCTCTTTATGATGGCACTCACCTTACCAGACACAGATGCTCTGTCAGCACCTGCTGTCTCCAGCCCTTTAGCCAAACTGTGCCTCTCTCCAGGCTTTCTGCTGTCTTTCACTGTAAATCTGACTAAGAGCCCCGACTGAGCAGTCACCGCACACAGCCTGGACATTACATTGTCTTGAAATTGCCTCCACCAAACAACTTGGGCCATTACTCTTGACTTCAGCCTCCCTCGAGATCTCAGGACTAGGAAGACAACTAGATTCTCGGTCAGACTACACCACACGTGCTCTCGAAGGCAGCTCCTGGTGGAGTCTGTTCCCTTCACAAGCCCTGGCTCCCCGTCCCCATTTCTTTTTCTTTCTTCCTTAGATTTTATATATTATTATTTTATGCTCTTGCCTGTGTATACATCTGTGCAGCAGTTGTGTGCTTGAGGCCCACAGAGACCAGAACAGGGTGTCAGATCCCCTGGAACTGGAGGGATAGACAGTTGTGGATGCTGGGAACCAAGCCCGGGTCCTCTGCAAGAACAAGTGTTCTTAACTTCTGAGGCATCTTTCCAACCCCTTATTTTTCTGTTACCATCATCATCATTGCGCTCATGTGCGCTCAGGTGTGCTCACCTGCCATGGCAAACGTGGACAGCAGAGGACAACTCTTGGGGGTTGGTTCACTCCTTCTACCATGGATTCCATAGAACAACTCAGGTCACCAGGCTTGCATGACAAGCCATCTCGGTGTCCATATTTTTACCAGCACCCTGGGCTTCCAAACTCCCAACACAATGGCTCATTAAACCCCACTTACACCTGCGCACGGTCCCCAATGCTTCTACATTCTTTCCACATACTAGTTCTAAAGGCCTACAGACTGTAGAAGTTTATCACAGCAATACTGTCTCAGTAGCAATCTTCTGTATTGCTTATATCTCTTCTTGCTGTGACCAAATCCTTGCCAAGAAGCAACTTGAAGAAGGCAAGGGTGGTGTCTGGTTCACAGATCAGGAAACAGCCTACCACGATGGGTATGGCAGTAGGGATGGAAGGTGACTGGGTCAGGCTGTACTGCAGCCAGGAGTCAAAGAAAGAGAAATGGGGGCATTCCTTCAGAGACAAGGTCTGACCTGTGTAGCCCGGACTACCCTTGATCTCAGCCACCCTCCTGCCTCTCCTTCCAAGTTCTGAGGTTCCAAGTGGGCACCACCATAACCAAGCAAAGCTGTTTAGTATTTTTTTAATGAGTTCAAAGTTCTCAAGTAAGAGCCACACTTACATAAACTGAACCACACTAAAACTATATGTTTAAGGGGCTGAAGAAATATCTCCAAGGTTAAGAGCAATTACTGGTCTAGAAAAAGACCTGAGTTTGGTTCCCAGCACTCACATGGTGGCTAACAGTCACCTGTCACTCCAGGTCCAGGAGATTCAATGCCCTCTTCTGACCTCTACAGGCACCGGGTACACATGTGGTACACATACATGGAGGCTCATACACATAAAAAAAAAAAAATCTTTGGGGCTGGAGAGATGGCTCATCAGTTAAAAGAACTGTTCTTCCAGAGGACTTGGGTTCAATTCCCAGCATCCATACGGCATCTTACAACCATATGTAACTCTAGTTCCTGAGGACCCGACTCCCACTTCTGGCTTCTGCAGGTACCAGGAATACATGTGGTGCATAGACATATATGCAGGCAAAATATCCATATACATCACACACACACACACACACACACACACACACACACACACACACACACACACAAAATTGAAATGGCATAAGCTCACATTAGCTTTGGTTATGTTGTTTCCAAACTACAAGAAATTAAAGTTCACAAATGAAATACTACTTTGAGGTATGTAAATACTACTTACATGCAATGCTTTAGCAATCAATTCTCCACCTTCAGGTCCAATATCATTAAACATAAGGTTTAAGTAAGTGATATTTGGCTGTTTCTATAATAAGGAGAGAAAAGAGCTATTGCATTTGTATTACAGGAAGTGAATTAATCTATACACATAATTTATTCAATTATAATTATCTCCATATAAAATCTAACAGAATTCCAACCAAGGCAATGACCATTTAAGGAGAAAAAAGGAAGTCACTCTTCTCTTTCAAACACTGCAATCGCAGTATCATTGAAAGGAAAAGACTGAGTTTAGTTTCACCAACAACTGAATGTGTGGACATCTTTGAGTGTTTAACCATGGTTTGCAAAAGACAACTCAGCTCTGCTGAGACCAAATCCAAGTGGATTTCCATGTATTTCAAGAACTACACCTAGAGCTGAGACTTGAGATCCTTGTGTTTTCCATACATGGTGTTTGCCTGTACACCATTCACCTATATGGTTTCATCTCAGCAGAACAATGCATACGGACAGCTGGTATCAGAGCAATACCTGAAGCAGTTTCGAAGCGTAGTAGGCACCAACATCACTTATGCTGTTATACCTCACATCCAGACCTGAAACACACAGGTGAACAGAAACTGATAGTCCAGACAAAGAATGCTGAAAACAGGCAAGTGAAAAGCAGGCAGTGTCTATTCTTAAGCAAACGTACCGTGGATACGTAACTGGTTCTTTAAAACTTTGGTAAGAAGCCAAAAATCTTCACCTGTTACTTTTTGTACTGGGACTAAGTGATTGTTACCAGCAACATTTAATGTGATTCCTCCTTCTGGTCTGTCAAAATAAAAAAGACAAAGAAAGTGATAAGGAGGACAATGTTGACACAAAGTTTGAAACCCTTCGAATGTGACCTTGCAACCAGCTTAAGATGGCTAATTTCCCCATCACTTGATTTCTCTCATGCACCCCACTGTCTTACTTTTATTTCTGTTGTAATAAAACATCCCACAAAAAGAAATTTAAGAGTCAGGCTCTGTTGGTGCACACCTTTCTTCCTTCCTTTCTTCCTTCCTTTCTTCCTTTCTTTCTTTCTCCCTTTCTTTCTTTCTCTCTTTCTTTCTTTCCCTCTTTCTTTCTTTCTTTCTTTCTTTCTTTCTTTCTTTCTTTCTTTCTTTCTTTCTTTCTTTCTTTCTTTCTTTTGTTCTTTCTTTCTCTCTCTTTCTTTTTTCTATCTATCTATTTATTTTTTATTTAGTTTTATTTTTTTAGACAGGGTTTCTCTGTGTATCATGCATTCTCAGTTGCTTCATGTATTCAGCTGGATTTCTCCAGTCTTATCCAGTTCAGCACCCCTGTGCCAGGAATGATGCTGCCCACAGTGGGCTGCATCAGCTCATGGTAATTAACTTAAGACAATCCTCTATAGACATGGGCACCAGCTAAGCAAATGTAGGAAATTCCTTATTGTTCTCAAGTGATTCTCAGTGTCAGGTTGACAAAGCTAACCATCCAACCCACTTTAGACTGAGCACTTTGAGAATGCTTTAGGTTTCTGCTGTGATAAACACCATGACAGAATCAAGTTGGGGAGGAAAGGGTTGATTTCATTGTTCAACTCTTGGGTCATACTCCAATACTGAGGGAAGTCAGGGCAAGAACTTAGGGAGGCAGGAACTGAAGCAGAAGCCATAGAGGAACTCTGCTTCCTGGCTTGCTCAGTCAGCCTTCTTGTAGCCCCCAGGACCACATGCCCAGGGTTGGCACTGCCCACAGAAGGCTGAACCCCTCTGCGTTCATTATTAATCAAGAAAATGTCCCCAGTGGCCTTCAGACAGGCGAGCTGGTGGAAACATTTTCTCAGTTGTTATGTCTCTCCCCAGGTAAATCTAACTCGTGTCAAATTGACAAAAGAAGAAGAAACAACAACAACCAGGACAAAGGATACGCCTGAATTCACCCAGCTCATGGGAACTGGGACAACTGCAGGCGCCCTGGCTTGAGGGCCCCTGGACTAGCACTCTCCCCAGTGGCGGACAGGGGACCTAAGACCTCAAAGTGTCCCATGTCTGCCCATTTCCCTGAATCAAAAGCTATGTCTGCCTTACCAAACCATCCTCAAACGGGATAAAGCCACTGGGTGGTCTAGGATTTCACAGAAATGAGGATCCGTGGGTACTTTTGATACAGCTGAATATTTATCTTCCTTACCTCTTTTTAATTTCTTCATCCAGTTTTTGTAGTATATGCAGTATATAAGGATTAGTTTTCCGTACATTTTCTGAACAAAGCTGACTGTACTGTTCCTGGAGGGCGTCCATAGACGCGGGAGCTTTGGAAACATAAATCCATTCTCATCACATATAAATTATGCCCAAAGTTTCAACAACTAAATTTCTTTCAAAGAAGTGTGTGTGTGTGTGTGTGTGTGTGTGTGTGTGTGTGTGTGTGTGTGTGTTGAGGGTGAGGAAGAAAGAGAAAAGTTGGGAGGGGGAGCAGGGGGGTCAAACAGGATATAAATGCACCAGAGAAGGTGGGCAGACTGTGGTTCCAGTCAGCACCCTAGCTGAAAGGGGACGACTAACCTCTACCATGAATTGGGTAGCTGAGGGAGACGTGTCCAGAGAAATTACTCTGGGCGAACTCAAGCATCTAAGGGAAGTTCAAACTCAAACTGTGTCTAAAGTCTTCCCAGGTGTCCCTTTGGGTTGCAATGATCTCACACTTTAACTAGGCTGCATTCTTAGAAGCTGCCTTCTATAATTTCCACATCTCAGATCCGTCCATTGCTGTGGAGCGGCATCTGTATGTACTATCAGAGTGTGCCACCCACAGCTGCAGAACAAGATTTAAGATCCGGTATAATTAAGTTAAAAGGAAATTAACTTTTCATATATATATTTGGTTTCTCGAGACAGGGTTTCCCTGTGTAGCTTTGCACCTTTCCTGGAACTCACTTGGTGGCCCAGGCTGGCCTCAAACTCACAGAGATCCGCCTGGCTCTGCCTCCCAAGTGCTGGGATTAAAGGCGTGTGCCACCACCGCCCGGCTTCTTATATTTTTTAAAGATGTATTTGAACTTTATTCTTATTTATTTGTGGTGTGTGTGTGTGTGTGTGTGTGTGTGTGTGTGTGTGTGTTTAGACAGAATTGTAATCTTTGGTCTAGTTTTATACCTTTCAATTAATGTTATACGGTGAGTAGTTCTTTCAAACATTACTCTCTAAAACATACATCAGGAAGGTGCCTCATGTGGATGGATGTACATGCATACTAAATTCTATCACCCATTTTAGGAAACTTTTGGCTATTTAAATAATGTGGCATAATATTTTCCAAGATGATCAAAGAATCTTGGAAATGAGTTTAATTTGTCAACTACTTTTGAAAAGTGGCGATTTAAGTGAAGGTAAACAGAGACCTAAGTAGGACACTTCTCAGGACATTTAAGTCACTCAGGTGCACGGAGATTCTCTGAATTGCCCAGGGGAAACCGGGTCAGAATGCAGCATCTCTGAGATGTATATGGAACACCATTTACTAAGTGCAGTATTAGCATCCGGGAAACACAAACACTCTGGTAGTTTCTAAACCGACACCACTTCCCTGCCTCAGGCTACTAACTTCTTGAGATGGAATACCGGCGCTTCTGGTGTCTGCCCCTACAAGCGCCAGGGAGCAGACAGAAATTGAATCTCTAAACTGTGCTTTCTTCAGAGGCCCAGCGACCGTGCCCATGGAAAGCAAACTGCCTTATTCTCCCCTCTAGGGAGCACGACAAGAACAGTCAGGCATTCAGCCTGAGTACACCTCTAACTTTATGCTTAATTTGTTAAATTCATGGACGCAGACATACTCAAAGTGCATGTGGAAGTATACGTATGAATAAAAATGTCACGATCATTCACTTTCTATATACTAACTTAAAAATGAAACCAAAATAGATGAAGAGGTTAAAAGAAAGGAAAATGTGGATGGTCTAGAAGTGAGAACTCGGAAGTCTCAGGAGCTTCCTGCTTGTCTGGGATGGTTTCCTGGGGCACACACTCGTGGACTCAGAAGAGCCCCCAGCGCACCTCCCCCAGACCCCAAGAGCAAAGCCACAGCCACTATCCTGCCACACCTCTCCTCACAAACCAGGCGAACCGGTGGTGCTCAAGGGCGCCCCAGAGTTCTGCCCCTACCTGGGGCTTCTGCAGATGGGATCCGCCGTCCTTCGGTTGGCCTGCAGCTGCAGGGCCGGGTACCCCTTACCCAGCTCGCCCCGCAGGTCCGACCACTGACTGAAGAGGAAGGTTGTGGCTGGGCTTTCTCTGCAGAGTGCGCCTGGGTCCTCACCGGGCTGGGACCATTACCAGGCCAGCAACCCGAGTCGCTCCCATGGCAACCACAGAGCTTCCTCCAGAAGGAAGGGGGAAGAGGCGGGGCCACAGTTGAGAGGGCGGGGCACCCCGTAATCAGTAGGCAGTGATCGCTCACCTTAAATTTACCTACTCTGTGTTATAGTCACTGAGAGGAGAGCTTCAAGGGTTGGGAGCCTAGCCTGCTGTGCTAGGGACCAACTACAAATCCTAGTGACCTAGCCTTTCTCCCCAAAAAGGACGCGAAAGGCTAAGCTCGGAATCTGGTGGTAGAACCTCCAGGTGTAAAGGGCGTGGGGCTGTAATGTCTTAAAGGGTTTTGTGAAGAGTGGAGCCCTTTGGAAAGGTTTTCTGGAGAAGGTGACTTCCCCACTAGTCTGAGACAGCCCGCCCCAGGGCCAAGCTGCAGAGGCACAGGTACAGTCAGTACCTTGAGTATGGACGCAGGCAAGGTCATATCCATGTGGAATCTGGTGTATAGTAGGGCTGTGAAGGGGTGGGGCCGATTGCAGACCCACCGATGGAGGGTGAATTTAGAGGACAGCCCAGAAGCGGAGCCTGAGATAGCCTCAGAAGCCTAAAAGAGGCAATAAAGCCTCAACTAGCGCTGGAGACCAGGGGTGCCAAGGAGTATTACAGGGTGTCTCAGTCAGGATGCAGTATTGAATATGTGAGGAAGGCCAGCGAGAAAGAGGTGGGTTGGGGTTGGAGCCAGACAGATCCCTGGAGGGTAAGAGTGGATGAAGGCCGGCAAGGTAAAAACAGTTACAGGGTAAAGAACAGTCTGTGTGGTGGCGCGTTCCAGCACTCGGGAGGCAGGGACCCGGAGCTCTGTGACTTCGAGGGCAGCCTGGTTTACAGAGTTCCAGGAAAGCCAGAGCTACACAGAGAACCCTGTCTCAAAAAACATGCTGCATGCTCTGTGTGTGTGTGTGTGTGTGTGTGTGTGTGTGTGTGTGTAGTGTGTGGGTAGGGATGTGCCTGAAGCAAGCAACACAGAAAGACTGAGACCAAGATCCGTCTTAGCGGGACCTGCACCTTCCTCCAAGCCCTCTTGGCCCTGCCTAGTGGAGAACTGCCCCTGCACTTGAGAGTTCTCCAGACTGGCGGAGCTGCACTCTTGACCCCCATGCACTACTGCCAATGGTTTTCTTTGGCAGGTGCTCCTGCCGCGTGCTGGTTCGTCCCTTTGGTTGGCTTTTGCTTTGCCTGTTGAAGGCTGGCTTCCCTGTCTCCCAGCCTCACCAGGCCGGAGGGGGCCTTCTCACAGGCCTCCACTTACGGGGAAAGAGTGGCCGAGAACTAGATTTTCACCCCTTAGCCTGCTTTACAGATAACAACTCGGGTGACTTTATGAAAATACGTAAGATATAAATTTTCCCAATATTTCCTGGGCGTGATCTCTGGCAAACTTCCACAACTCATTTGAAACTAAGTCAAAATAAGTATCTTAAAAGTTAATTTTCCTCCTGTTGTTTTTGAGACTGGGTCTCACTGTGTACCTCTGGCTATCCTGGAACTCACTGGGTAGACCAGGTTGGTCTCAAACTCACAAAGATCCACCTGCCCCTGCCTCCCCAGTGTTGGGGTAAAAGGCATGCACCACTCTTTGCTCGGCTTTGAAAGATTTTTTTTTAAATTATGCCTATGTGGTGGCGTGAGGGAAGGTATGTACATATGAGTACAGGTGCCCACAGAGGAGAGAAGAGGGTATGGGGTCTCTCTGGAGCGGAGTCACGGGCAGTTGTGAGCCTCTAGATGGGTGCTGGAACAGCAACCGAGGTCCTCTACCAGAGCAGTAAGTGCTTTTAAAGGCTGAGCCATTTCTTCAGCCCGCAAACAAGCCATGTACAAAGACGAAATTAGGCGATCTGTGTGTTAACACACGTGCACAAACTTCCTAGAAAGAGGTGTTCACGCTTTAACTCTTACCCTAACATGAAATACAAAGAAACAGAAATTTCATGTTGCAAAATCGTTTCAGTCATTTGTCCGTCGTCGCCATCGCCCTCGCGTCCCGTTACTAAGTCTGGTTGTCAGGGAAATCTGATTTTTTCCCCCTCCTCTTCACAGTATTTCAGATTTGGGATCATGGAACTTTATAAACTCGTGACAAAGGAAGTACTAAAACAAGAACATTTACCCAAGGTTTTTCAGAGAAATGACCCCCAGCGGGTCACTGATAGAACGTTTTTCATGGATGGTTCCAATCAGAGTTTGAAAACCATCCCGCCAGACATTTTGGCATTAAAGGAATTAGAAGAACTGCATCTGGAGAACAATCAGATTGAAGAGATTCCCCAGGGCATCCAGCATTTAAAGAATGTCAGGGTTCTCTACCTGCACAAGAACAACCTGCAGAGTCTGTGCCCGCAGCTGGGGGAGCTCAGCAGCCTGGAGTCTCTGGACCTGAGCTGCAACCCGCTGTTCTATTGCTCGCTGCCGGTACTCAGCTGCCTCCGCACCCTCCGGGAGCTGCGGCTCTACCGCACCGGCCTGAGAGAGGTTCCCACCGTGATCTGCAAATCCCTGCACCACCTGGAGCTCTTTGGACTGTCAGAGAACCACTTGGACTCGCTGCCCAAGGAAATCGTGAACCAGACCAAGCTCAGGGAGATCTACTTGAAAAAGAATCAGTTTTCGGTTTTCCCTTCCGACCTCTGTGTGCTCTTGAACCTGGAAGTGATCGATCTAGACCACAACAAACTGAAGGCCATCCCGGAGGAAATCGGGCAGCTGAGGAAGCTGCAGAAGTTGTACGTGGCGTTTAACAACCTGCCCCTTCTACCCGAGTCTCTGAGCCAGTGCAGCAAGCTGTCGGTGCTGGATTTGACCCAAAACCTCCTCCGCTCCCTCCCGGCCACCATGGAGCAGCTCTCGGAGCTCACGGAGGTCGGGCTGAGCGACAACCGCCTGGATAAGGTGCCGCGCCTCCTGTGCCGCTGGGTGTCGCTGCAGCTGCTGTACCTGCGCAACACCGGCCTGCGTGCGCTGCGGCGCTCCTTCAAACGCCTGGTCAACCTGCGCTTCCTGGATCTCAGTCAGAACCACATAGACCACTTTCCCTTGCAGATCTGCACGCTCAAGAACCTGGAGATGCTGGCGCTGGACGATAACAAAGTGGGACAGGTACTGCTTCCCTTCCCGCTCTCACTCTGCTCTGCCTTTCCTTGATGTGGCGCTATGTCCAGCCAGCATGTTGAACCCGCTACCGTAAACAACAAGCAAACATAACAGGCGTATCAAAGATATCCCACAAGGTGGCACTTGATATTCTTCCGTTCCAAATGATAGTAATTCTAACCTCCATCTAATGTTCACTTAGGACATGGGCCACAGCCACTGGGGTGTTCCCATTCGCAAGGACACACGAGACAAAACCGAACTGAGTTGTTTTAAGGACCAAACCAAGGGTCTCTCCTAACATAGGCCACCTGACAGTCTCCATAAGAATTAGACTTCACCCCCTGGCCCCTGGAAATACCTTAGTCCTTAAGTTTCCATTCACGAAACACTGAAGAACAGGTTGGGTGTTTGTTTGTTTGTTTGTTTGTTTGTTTTTCCTGGAGAAACTGTCCCATGGGTGTGGGGGGCACTTTGGAATTAGTCACCACAGCATTCATTGTTGGGCATCTGAAGAATGGCAGACCACTATGTCAGTGGGGGCACAGGCAGATAAGATGCAGGTTCCTTATAGAATTGGATACCATACAATGAAAGCTAACTGAAGCTGTATGTGCCAGTGTGGGGACAACTCAAACCGGGATGCTTATTGAATGGAGGGGGGGACCCGACAAAACAATATATTCATTGTTGAGCCGTACAAAATTACAAATACAGAGACCAGTGACATGGCCCACTGGGTAAAATTGCTTGCTGCTAAGCCTGGACACTTGAGTTTGATCCCGGGAAGGCAGGGGGAACATTGTGGAGGGACAGACCAGACTTCTGTGAGTAGTCCTCTGACCTCCCTACTCACCGTGAAGCATACAGGCCCACAAGCACAAACACACAAATAAAGAAATGCCACAAAATTTTAATAATACACATATAAATAAACACACATATATACCACTCATTTAAAGAACATTTATAATAATAAAAGTATAAAAAGCAATAAAAATATAATGAATTGGAAGGAAAGTCACCAAGTTCCCAAGAGTGGCTACCTTTAGAAGGAGGGATCAAGAAAGGTATTAAGCTCAGTGCTTGTCTGCCATGTGGAAGTTCCTAGTTCAATCAGCAGGGCCATAAATAAGTAAATAAATAAATAAGCACAATAAAATAGGGACATGGAGATAGGAAAACCACCTGGAAGCCAGTGGGCAGTGAGCTGGGAATACATAAAATAGTGGGAGCAAGAGAGACGGCCTCAAAAACAAGGTGGAAGAGAACTGACTTCCAAAAGCCACCCTCTGCCCTCCATACACATGTACTGATTGTGCCCCGACACACACACACAGAGGGTGACCCAGAGAGAGTCAGAGAGAAACAGAGAATGGAGGAGAAATTCCTTTCAGTGGAGAAAGTGTTTCATCTAACAGTTGGAGTAACTCAAAATAGAATGCATGTAGGAAGATTTTCTAGTTAGCTTTCTGCTGCCGCGGTAAACACCACGACCAAACACAACTGGAGGAGGAAAGGGGTTATTTCCTCTCACACTTCCTGGTCAGTCTGTCACTGAGGGAAGTCAGAACAGGAACTGAAACATCTCAGGGACAGCACCCACGAGGACTGATCCCCACGGGCTGCCCCCAGGCTCGCATTTGGCTACCTTTCTGATACAGTCCAGACCCACGGCACAGGCATGTTTTGTACCGTGGGATGGACCCTCCCACATCAATTAGAAATCAGGAAAATGCCCCCACAGACATGTTCACAGGCCACTCCGGTGGAAGCAGTTCCTCAAGTATGGTTCCATCTTCCCAGTGTGTTCAGTCGAAACCAAAATTAGCCACCACAGAAAGGTAACACTGTCCTAGTCATGGCTAAGTCATGAGCAATAGCTAACCTTTTCTTGAGAGAAACTTTAGTTCTCAAAAGAGAGACTTGCATGAATTTTGCTTGCTAACAAGAGAATCTCCAGCTTACCCTGTAAACCAAACTGTGCCGGAGTATAGACATGTAGACAGATATTACTGTACTGAACATGAAAATCTTTATGAACTATTACTTATAGTTTCCAGTTATTCTGATTATATTTTTTGCACTTTGGTCTCTCCATGACCAGTTTTGTCTGATGCTGTAACTTATAACCACGAGGCTTATTTCTCTTCTTTGTGGTGTATGACTTTTACCTCTCCCACACAAAGACTCCCCTGATTGGTTTCTGGCTCTTGGAGCCTGGCAGCAGCTTCTCCTTGCCTAGGTAGGTGTGAAAACAGCTTTCAATGGGCACCTAAATTGATTTTACTTGTACAGTAAATTACTATTAAAAGAGAAAGTAAAAACAGAGTATTCAACCTCAAAATGGTCAACTATGGTATCATAAATAATTGCTCCATGTTGATACTCTGCAGATGTCTGTGTCCAGATCTTTCCATTTTTATATTTTGTGTGTGTAGATGGATAGATGATGTGTGTGTGCCACAGCATGCATATGGTGCTCAGATGACAACTTGGTGGAGTCAGGTTTTGCCTTCTACCTTTGTGTGGGTTCTGGAAATGGAACTCAGGCCAACACCAAGTGCTTTTACCCACCGAGCCACTGTGCCAGGCCCTGTGTGTCTACATTCATTTCCGTTATGTGTTAACATGAATTGATGAACAATTACGAGGCCTTGAAAATCCTGGACAAAGGGTGAAGACTTGTGAGTATTCAATGTACTTTGAAAATGAAATGTTGCACCAGTGTGTTAAGTAAACAATGGTGAGGGTAGAATTACCAGGTTGTAATGATGGATGAGGTTGAAGTCTTCCTGTTTTCCATTTTATTGAATGCAGGTGCCTAGTGTTGAAGGGGAGCCAAGTGCCCTGTGAAGAATTTTTAAACTCATTTTCTCTGGAGATCCACTTGATCTGATATTTTAAGTCAATAAATAAACTGGGTTTGGTGACCTGTACCTCTAATGCCAGCTCTTGGGAAACAGAGGTAGGAGGATCAGAAATCAGAGGTCATCCTCAGCTACATTGCAAGTTCCAGGCTAGCTTGGGCTACACGAACTCCTGTCTCAAAATAATAAAAGCAAACTAACAACCCTCGCCCCCCCATACCAATGGAAACATTCTTAGCATTTTTAGAAAAATAAACCTTCATCTTACATTAAAAAAAAATGGTCTAAGAAATTCCAGTTCTGCAAAACTTTTACAGAAATTTAGTTTATTCTTATAGTATGCTTCCTTCTAACCAGAGTGGGAAGGAGGGCGGCACAGACTGCAGAGAAGGTAAGAGGAAGACAGGAAATGAGGAAGGATTTCCCACCAGGAAGGAAGTCGGATAAAGGGGTGTGCGAGTTAAGAACAGGAAAGGAAAGCATCTTTGCTACACAGTGTGTGGGGTGGTTATGTAAGTTAGAGTAAGGTTTTTCCCATGAGATTCTAGAGGACCAGAATGAGAGCGTAGTAGACCTGACAGTTTTCCACTGGTGGTGATGCTCTTTGCTGTCTGGGAGGTGGTGCCACCTGGCTAGGCAGCAACATATCCAGCCGCTGTGTTGGAGGGTTAGAACACAGAATCTTCTTAAGGATTTCCTCTGAAGTCTGGCAGTCTGTAAAATAACCACCTAACTTCCAAATAAGGCGCAAAAGCCTTGGTGTTCAAAAGAAGGCAAAACATGATGAGACGGATCCTAGTATCTACACGGGGTGTCCTAATTAGAAACACTTTGAACATATGTTTGCTTCCAGCTGAGTTCAAAGGCAGTTTCAAAACTGTCAGGTGAAAGACCTTGGGAGCTAAAAACCAGGTGTCACCAAATGTATCAATTCCAGAAAATAAATGTATTACAAATATTATTATTATAATATTCTATATAATTATAGTGCTCTTTCTTCCAACATTATCAAGCATTTGACATTCTCTAGGTAACACATTTACAATGAAGCAACATGAACTGACCCAACTTGTGAAAAGCAGAGGAGTGGCAGTGTTAGCGTAGACAGGTCTGGCCTTGTGTTTTCAGAGGCTCAACTTCTCATCCGAAGAGCTGAAAATTAGAGCCCACACCAATTTACACAAGAAGCAAGGTTATATCATTTGAGCAAAGTAATGGCACAGATTATAGACAGATACACTGTCAAGATCAATAGGAGACCACATGAGTAAGGATGCTCATGGGCCCCACACATTCTATGCTTCATTCTGTGGGGTTAAAGAGAAGGAGGGACTAGTTACTTGGGGTGGGGGTAGTTTGGATGGCTCTCTATTTTGATTGATAGATTAGATCATACATTCATTTTTTTCCTAATGCACATGTTCCTTCCTATAATGCATCTAGTTTTAATTATGTCTCATTTGTTATACATATACATAAGCTAGTAAATAGAGGACGATCCCCAAAGATTACTAGAGAACACAATTTTGTCTTATTGCACGTGCAGCCCTAATCTAGTTTAAGCCATGTTGGCCCTCCTATTAATCATATCTAGATACACTGGGGATATGCTTGAAAAGACACCGTCCACATTCAATTGTAACCAGAACAGGACGATTTATACATTTGTTTAGAGATGGGAGTACACGTAGCCTGATGCAGGTGGGAGTCCCAAGGGCCTCTGAGCTTACTAGGTGCATTGTTTGGAAAGGGATATATGTGCACGGTGTCTGCAGTGAAAGAGCTAGCCAGCCAAGTGCATTATTACAAGAGAGGGACAATGTTGTGGAATGTTATTTTAAGGTGTGTTACTTTTGTTTATGTTGCATTTGTTTAACTCTGTGAAACTGTGATACTGTGCCTGTCTAAAACACCTGATGGTCTAATAAAGAACTGAACGGCCAATAGCAAAGCAGGAGAAAAGGAGAGTGGGACTAGCAGGCAGAGAGAGAGAGAATATATAGAAGGAGAAATCTGGGAGGAAAAAGAGAATAGCCAGAGAAAGAGGAGGACTCCAGGGGCCAGCCACCCAGCTATATAGCAAGTCACAGAGTAAAATTTATGGAAGTAAGAGAATGGGAAAAGCCCAGAGGCAAAAGATGTATGAACTAATTTAAAGTTAAGAAAAGCTGGCTAGCAACAAGCCAAGCTAAGGCCAAACATTTATAATTAAGAATAAGCCACTCTGAGAAATATTTTTGGGAACTGGGTGGTGGGCCCCCCAAAAGAGCAAAAACAAACAACAATAGGACAGGGTATGGCTGAACCCAAACCAAATACTGCCCCACACTTGCCTGCCTCAGCAGGAAACAGGTGGAAGCCCAGTCTGCAAACACATATGGTAATTATGCAGTACACATATGAACATATACGGAAGCATCCATTGCTAGGAGACATTGACAACCCTACTTTTTGTTTAACAGCTTGTTTCAAAGCCAAAACTCAACTTATTCCTTATTCCTTAAAATTCTCATCATAAAGTCAGTTAAATTTAGCACTGGGGATTTGTGTACAACTTTAGTGACACTAATGTCAGTATTGATAACCCACTACCACCAGACAAGCCAGACAACTTAATTTTGAGTGTTTAAAAACTATCTCAACCTTAACTTTAGCTTTTTGGAATACTTCCAGTTACCACCGACTGTGAGCTCACTTACAAAACTGAAGACTCTTGGACTCACAGGAAATGACTTTTTATCCTTCCCAGAGGAAATCTTTTCCTTAGTGTCTCTGGAGAAATTATACATTGGACAAGACCAGGGATTCAAGTTCTCCTGTGTGCCAGAAAAAATCAAGAAATTGCAGGTAAGCCCTCCTAAGGAACAGACAAGAGGTGCATGCCACCCTGCCCCAGCGCCTACTGCTGAGAGAGCATGAGGCAATGTTTCCCACATTGCATAAAGGATGTATTTGTATTGGATTTTCAGCCCCAAACCATGGGTTTTACATTTTGGGGCTCTGTTACTGAATAAGCCCTACAACACTGTACTGTGATTGTTATTTAGTATGTCCTGTACCTATTCTTTTTCTGTCCCACCCGCCAGCTCCCAAATAATAACACAGAGATTTATTATCAATTATGAACGCTCAGCCTATAGCTTAGGCTTGTTTCTAACTAGTTCTTTTAACGTAGCCCATGTATAGTAATCTACATTCTGCCGTGTGGCTCGTGGCTGTTACCACTTGCCATGCACATGCTGCTTGCTCTGTGTCTCCTGGTGTCTCTCTGCCTCTGTTCTTGCCAGAGTCCCCTCTGTCCCCAAAAGTCCTGCCTAATCTCTTCCTACCTACCTATTGGCCATTCAGCTCTTTATTAAACCAACCAGAAGGCACCTTGGCAAAGACACATCTTCACAGTGTAAATAAATATTCTGCCACAATGTCATTTTTAAAAAGATATCTTATAGCCGCTCAGTGGTGGCGCATGCCTTTAATCCCAGTACTCGGGAGGCAGAGGCAGGTGGATCTCTGTGAGCTTGAGGCCAGCCTGGTCTACAAAGCAAGTTCCAGGAAAGGCGCAAAGCTACACAGAGAAACCCTGTCTCAAAAAAAAATATATCTTTTGTTTATTCCCAACAATTTCATATACATATGCAATGCATCTTGATCCTATCCCACCCCAACTCCCCTGCTTATTCCCCCAAGACACCCCCTTACATATCTGCCTGTCTTAGTTAGAGTTACTATTGCTGAAGTGAAACACCATGATCAAAAGCAACTTGGGGAGAAAAGAGTTTATTTCACTCACAGTTCCATATAGCAATTCATCGTCAGAGGAGCTGATACAGGTGCCGTGGAGGGGTGCTGCTTACTTGCTTGCTCCCCGCATGGCTTACCTAATCTGCTTTCTTATAGAACCCAGGACCAGCAGCCCAGGGAGGTCACCCACAGTGGGTTGGGTCCTCTATCATCAATCACTAATTAAGAAAATGCCTTACAGCTGGATCTCATTTTCTTAATTGAGGTCCCCTCCTTTCAGATAACTCCAGCATGTATCAAGTTGACATAAAACTAGCCAGCACACCCTCCAACCTTCAGGTCCAGTCTTCTTTTTTAGTCCCACTGTATCCATTTCTGCTGCCTGCTAGAATGCTGATTGACCATTGTATGGCTTGCTCTTGTGCAGGTGACCACAGCTTCTTCTAGTTCATAAGTCATGTCCTTGTCCAGAAAACAGCATTTCCCAGCACTCCTTCCCATCCTCCACCTTTCTGTCCACCGCCTCTGCTATCACATTCCCTGAGGGGATCAACACCAATGCCATATACGGGTTATTTAAAATCCGCTTATTTTCAGCCTTTTGACCATTTTGAGTCTCCACATTAGCTGCTGCCTAATACAGAAAGAAGTTTCTCTGGCCAAGGTTGAGGACAGAACTAACCTATGGGTATAAATGTAAGTATTATAAAGGCAGTTGGCAACATGAGCATTTAGCAAAACCACAGAAATAGTTTCTTCACTGGCACTTATGACCTCCCAGCCATGGGCTTTTGACCAGGTTTATAGTACCAGGCACACATTCCTGCCTGTGTGGGCCTCAAATCCTAGCAGAAAGTGATTGGTTACCATCATAACTTACATGCCACTGTTGCATCAGTGGCTCTTCTTTCTACAATTGCATTTTGGTATTTTTATTTGTAGAAATTGACTCATACTATTTTCTATTTAATTTATATATTTCATAAGTACCCCCTTGAAAAAGACATTGTTTAGAAGTTAAAGTGTCCTATAAGTAACATGATTGGGAGCCTAAAATTTTGACACCCAGAATTCCCTATAAGGAACACTATGACCTGACTTTCTTGCTTGGTGATGGGCAATCTGATGACGGGTCCATAGTTCTCTGCTGAATCCTGAATCAAAATAACTTCATCCACAGTAGTGTTTTCATATGTGTATTTGTGGAGAACTGTTTGTCCATATTCCTCTTCCCTCTTAATGATAATGATGTAGTAGCTCTGGGCTATTCATAACCTTTGGAACAGAACTGAGCAATGATGTGTATAATACTGATAATTCTCACTGTGACACAGAGATCCTATTCTTAATTCTCCATTACTCTGTCTATGCTCAAAGAACACCTTTCACCATCTTGTTCCTTGTACAAAACATACCATTACCATGGGGTTAAATGCAAATATTAAATATTATTATTTTATTTTGCCCAGTAAAGTTGAAAATAGGTAATCCAAACCAATTATCCATGTTTTTTGGCTACCTATATGACTTGGGGCACTTAGTTGAATAATTATAGCAATTGCCAAAGATAACTAGCTATTGAAAGGGAGTACATGCTGTAATGACCCAAGTTCCTTTTTATGAGGTTTTGATAAAATTATGTCCCAGTATTCTCATTTCCTGCGTAAATGGAAACTAAATCCAATGGCTTTACTCAAAGCAATTGTATTTCTTGATATTAATTATGTAAATATTTACTAGTTAGTCCTTTTGCCATTGGGACCAGTATACCTCACTAAACCATCCAAGGAAAGATGGGTTTATTTGGGCTCCCATTGGAGGGATTTCAGTCCTAAACACTGGGGAAGACATCATGGCAGGAGGGCTTTGTGTATGGCAGAAGGAATATGTAGCAGAGGCTCCTTAATCTTGGCAGATCAGGAAACAGAACTAGACCAGAGCTAGGGGCAGGTATGACCTCCCATGGCCTGCATCTGGGGCTTGCTTCTGCCAGCTAGCCCACATCTTAAAGGCTCCTCCAACTTCAAGAAGCACTGAAGATTGGGGAATAGGTACTGAAAGCATGAGGCTTGAGGGACAGTTCAGATTCAAACCACAACAAACATGTTTCTCCATTGTCCCAAGGCATGATTTCCTTACTGCACATGAATGGATACTCACAGATAAGTCTGGTTATTGTAATTCGCTTATTAAGATAAGTGTCCTCACCACACCCTCTCATGTTATGGCAGAATCTTAAAGAACTATACATAGAAAACAACCTTCTGGAGTCCCTGCCTTCATCCTTGGGGTTAATGTCAAACCTGGAAGTTCTTGATTGTCGGCATAATCTTCTTAAGCAACTCCCAGATGCCATTTGCCATCTTCAAGGTGAGGAACTTCCTAGAGCTACAGCCTGGTAGAGTGAGCCCCACATTGCCCAGGAATGGCCTCCTTGACTTAAGAAAGACCAATTTCAGAGTCTGTAGAGCTAATTACAACTTTTTGTATGTAATTCCTGTATCATCAGCCACTGACAGGCTCTCTAACAACACAAGGGAAGCCAGGTGCCTCTATATTTGTATAGCTAAGAGTCTTAGTAGTTTATGATTTGAATGAAAAAGAGAAGCAAATAGTGGTTGCTTAGAAAATTAGTATACATCCATGCTTTCATTACACCACCATCAGCACAACTGACTGAATGAACACATGTGATATGACAACATTTAGAGTTGGGATCCTGATGTAAATGTTTATCTAGGTCACTAAGTCATTTGAATAAAAGGAAAATTATTGACCCAGAATGATGAAATCAGCAAAGGGGATTTTTATAATTGCATGATTGACTTGGAAAAAGTAATCACACTTGATTCCTAAACACTCAAGTATTGTTTGGCTGAGTCACTCCTTATCATAGATCCATCTACCCTCCCATGTAGCAAGTCTGAGTACTGACTGGGTTCTTCCTGCTGTGGAAGATCAGACACAGACAGACATTTGATTAGATGGTGTTAGAAGCCATGGGTTTGGTACCTCCCTCCTCTCCAGCCACTCATCAGTGGATCTCACCTAGGTGGGTTTAGGCACTGAGATCCTAGGTTACATCAACCAATTAAAATGAAAATCTTTGCAGATTTGAGAGAGCTACTGCTGGAGGACAACTTACTCAGCCGCCTCCCGGATAGCCTTGATCATCTGGTGAAACTTAAAGTCCTAACACTAATGAACAATCCCATGAAAGACCCTCCAATGGAAGTGTGTGTCAAAGGCAATGAAGCCATATGGAAATACTTGAAGGAAAACAGGATTAGGAAAATAATGGCCACAAAGGTAGACTCAGTACAGATTCTTTATTTTTTTATTTGAAAATTTTTATTCTTGGACAACTTTTTGTGTGTATATGATGCATCTTGATAACACTTGCACCTCATTCCCCTCACCCCTGTGCTCAGACCTCCCTCAACCTGTCCTCCTTCATGTCCCTCCTCTTCATGCCTGCCCTTTTTAATAACTCACCAAGGCCAGTTAATGCTGGCTGCATGCCCATGAATGTGGGGCAGACACTAGAGCATGGGAACCCTACCAGCAGTCACACCCTTAAGAAAATTGATTCCTCCAGAAGCCCTCAACTGCCAATAACCCTTCAGCAAGGGATGGGGCTTCATGAGCCTGTCCGTGATGGGTTGTTGGTGGCTTGATCGTGTGTAGGCATCCACAGCTGCTGTGTGTTAATGACTGTGATGGCCACGTCGTGTTTAGAGGGTGACTCACCCTCCTGGGATCTTATATTCTATTCTCTTCTGTGATGTTTTCTGAGCTCAGGGACTAGGGAGTGAGCACTCACCACTTACGTATTATCAACTCTGACCAGTTCTGATTCTCTGCACTGACTGCCACCCACTGCTGTAAGAGGCTTCTCCAAAGAAGGCTGGGTGCAACACTAGCCCATGGATAATAGTCAGTTTCCTGATGGGCCCTGCCCAACCTGTCGAACAGTCCAGAATAAAAGAGTGAGGATTGAGAAATAATAAACAGGAAAAACAGAGACATAGACATAAAAGAAAAATACAGAGACACAGGATAGCTCCAGGGGGCTCTGAGCCAATACCACAGCAGCCCCAAGTTTATTTATCATAGCCTTTTTATACCCAAAGCAAGGGAGGCAAAAGACCTCTTCCTCTCAAGGACACCATGGTTCAAGGCACAAACAAGTGTAAACACATCCTTAATTCTCAAAACATCTAGTAACCACACCTTTGGCAAAACATCCTGTTATACAACCTTGAAGACTAAGACATCTGGGAAGAGTTGGGCAGGAAACAACACCAGTAGTGAAACCTTGGACCAGACATTTTTATTTGGTGTGTAGCATCCTTTGTGCATTAGGTAGCCATGATTATTTGGGGCAGACATCTGACAGTTGAAGTTAACCATTTTATTCTTTACCTTGGGCAAAATCTCCCTTCCTGATCATTTTAATTTCTGATGTAGAGGAAGGACCACCCTAGAATTGAGCTTTAACCCTTTCATTTCCTAATCGATCAAAAGGCGTTTCTGTTTACCATGTAAACTCTGAGTTGGAAAGAAATATTTTGCCGAAGGAACTGTTCTAACACCTACTCTGTGTTCTGGAGTGGTGTAAATGGGCCTTGAATAAAGGATTGGAAGGATTAGACATCTGGTAACCATGCCTTTGGCCAAACATTCTGTTATCCAGCCCAAGACAAGCTTGAACTCTCTGACCTTGAGTCAAGAAGGAATCAAGGCACAATCTGGGTCACTGTGGGATCCCACAATTCCCCCCTTTTACATTTGTTTATTAAAGGTCCTCTGGACCCCTCAGATGACTGTGCCTGTCGTAGGTTGCCTTTTCAACCATCCAGTCTTACCTGTCATTGGCATATGAATTCCATTATTTGTGGCCTGTCTTAGGTTGAAAGGTGGTGAAAAGGACTTAACTGTCTTGACTACCAGCCTCTGGAAAATTACAAGGTAGAGTGCAGAGCTTAACTCTATGCAGCTCTGATTCTACCAAGAGTTCACAAATAGCTTGATAATTATAGGCAAGCAAATAATGTTCCCATGGTTGCAATACCTCCTAATACAAGAGTAAAGGATGAATAAGATGGAATGACCTTTTTACACTGGTCCAGGATGTCTACAGCAGTTTAGTTGCATCAAAATCCAACTTTTCCATATTTAAAATCAGTAATCTCCTGATGTAACTTCATCAAATTTAAGGACTCATTAGCATCATACCAAATTCCTCTCAGATGAGCCCTAACATTTTCCTACCCAGTAGCATTTTTATTGTAAACAGAAGAGGCTACACAAACCTAGTTATATTTAACAGGGAATTTCAAATGAAATCTTTCTTTAACTTTTGAATCTCATCTCCTAACAACTGTACTATTTCAAATAAAGCATTCAGCTTATGCTCCATTTTCATATCAATATCTTCTTGAGTTCTTGAGGCTCATAAATACATTTTGAGACATTTGATACACATACTCTGCAGTCTGATAGATTGAGACAATGTTACTGCAGTGGTAGTGGTGAAACTATCAAGGAAATTAGGGCAATAATTCTGGCAGTTGCCATTTGTCATCATACCATGGTTCACTAGCATTAGCAGGTTAACACCATAATTCTAGTATAATTATTAACAATGGACAAACAATTGATTAAATTACAATTCTCAAAAACTTATATCAAAGCTACATTTGAACTGCTCCAGTCCTGAATACCAAATATCAGCAGCAAAACTTTTATCCTACTCCTATTCATCAGTACATTTTTAAAAAAATTAAAATAAAGAGGGCATGATATGGTGACTGAGAATATAATTCCCCTTATTTATATATTTTAAGATGTATCTTGAGACTGCCATGGGCTTATAAATCAAAATGTCCATTGCCATGGAACCGCTTCTGTCCATCCCATTTCTGAGATCTGAAAACCTATGCATACATTCAAAAAGCCAGTTCTGATATTAGTCTTAGCAGTTTTCATTGAAAGCTCAAGATCAGGGCCCAGTTTGCCAGCTTCCCTGAAGTCCTTGTATGCTGCTCAAGCCATAACACAAACCATTCCCTTGCACCATGAGCATTGCGTTTTTCAGTTTTTGGGTTTATCCAAAAATGCACCCATGCTTAGTAATGAACTGGGGAGGGGGGCAAGGTCTCAAGGGCTCTCCAACCACATAGCCACCCATATCACTCCCACTGCTGGCCCATCTTCGAGGGATCCCAGTGTCAACTGCCTCTTACCCCATGGGCTCAAGTGGCTGCCCCTGTGTCACCTCAGTCCTCTCTATTCAGCACCCCAGGTCCCAGAAGAAGCCCAGCCTCGGCTGCCATACCCCAGCTCTGTGACCTGATCTGCCCATGCCCTGCATCCTCTGTGCGCTCATCCTTGCTCAAATGGCCAAATGCTAACCCCAGGGCAGCTGGCCTGCCAGACTTGGGCCAGACGCCATCCCTCAGCAGTCCACAGTTACTCCCTTACCACTGCTCCATGGACCCTCACAGGCAGCCCTGCAGCTCTGCCTCACTTGGGAGGCACTGGGAGCCTGGTTCAGTCAGCATCAGCAGCTTCTGAGCTTCCTCCAGCAGCATGGTTCCTCAAGGTTTCGGAGTGCAGCCTCCAGCCACACCAGTCAGGTTCTCACAGACATCCCGGCTGTCTGTGTTCTCCCTGTCTAGGCTCCTTCATGGCAGAAGGCAATACAGACCCCCACTGCTCACACTGCCTCTCTCAGCACCCACTGCGATGCTGGTAGGTCTCAGGGATGCCGGGTCAGGGCAGCTGCTGCTGCTACCGCCGCCGCCACGCTCCTGCTGCTGCGAGCAGTGGTGGCGTCTGAAGTAGCTGCTCATTCTCAAGCTGCTGGGTTCTTGGTGGGTGCTCATGGCGGGTACTTGGTCCCAGACAACTTTCTAGTTCTCCTCCATATGTCTGTATCCAAGGTTCCATGCTCAGGGAAACCAAGGGCGCATCTGCTCTATCCTAAGTTGTTTTTTTTTTTTTTAAGCCTCCATATATCCTTATTCCTTAAACCTACATTACTCAGATCTCATAAAAGCTTTTATGACTTACTTATAACTTTAGACCTAAGTTAGGCCTGTATCCTCAGCACATCTAGATCACTCATTCAGACTAATGCCACCATTCATTCAAACCCATATGACATACTCAGACATTTTTATTTTCAAACTATTTTCTCAGACTTAAAAAAAAATAAATTCAAACCTAATTTGCTGTAGCCCTAATTTTAGCTCCTCTGGCTTTTAAAATATCTTTAAATGGCTGTCTACTATTACCCTGCTCTATATTTACAATTTATTACTGAGTTAATCACCACATTTCCATTTAATCTTATCTGAGCACTCACTTTAACTTGTGGTGTCCTTCATTGGATCCTCTGTATTCAAGTCCCTGTTTTGGCACCATTTTCCAGGCCCTGCCTAACCCTGTCTAACAACCCTGAACAGGGGAGTGAGGATTGAGAAATAGTAGATAGGAAAAACAGAGACATAGACATCAAAGAAAAAGACAGAGACACAGGATAGCTTCAGGAGGGCTCTGAGTCAATACCACAGCAGCTCTGAGTTTATTTCTCACAGACTTTTTATACCCAAAGCAAGGGGGCAAAAGACCTCCCCCTCTCAAGGACACCATAGTTCAAGGTACAAACAAATGTAAACATCTTCTTTTGTTAAAATATCTTGTTATCCAGCCTAAGAGGGCAAAGACAAGCTTGAACTCTCGGACCATGAGTCAAGATGGAATCAAGGCACAGTCTGGGGTCACTGTGGGTTCCCACAGTTTCCCCTTCCACTGTGTGTCTGGCCATCGAACTTGGGTTGTCAACGTTGGCAGTAAGTGTCTTTACCCACTGAACCTTCTCAAAAGCCCTCTTAAATGATTTTATTGGAGTGAAAAAATATTTCATTAACAAAAGCAATGAAATGAGGTTAAGACATTTAAGATCAGAGGCTTAGAGACCAGGATCCGGCCATGAGCTAGGATCAAAGGGGGAAGAGCCTCGGGATCTTGCTCTCAGCTAATGACTCATGGGACATACAGTACCACAATCTTCAACCCGTTCAAGCCAACATCATCTCATACACAAATGATATGTTAGCTCCCCAACTATCATCCTGCTCCCACAATTGTTTCCCCACAACATGCCTTCCACTTGATAGTCAAGTGGAAGTGTGTCTCAGTAGGCTCTGGAGAAATGGACAATTCTTTGTTCCATCTGGAATAATAGTCCAGTTCCTGAGTCTACCAGATTCTCTACTGCAAACCTTCAAACAGCCATCCACTTATACTAAGCAGTTAGTAATACTTCTGTTTCTTTGTCAAAATTAAACTATGCTAATCATCATTAAATTTTAATAAATCAAATAATACCTAAGCTGCAACATAAAGAAGGGAAGTAAAATAAGATATATTTTTTGTTCAAATATTTTTTCAAGATACATCTGCTTACAATGACTGTTCTGGAAGAATGGAAGCTGTATTTTTATTGGTTAGTTCCTAAAAGCATTTTTGAAAGATCATGTACTCTTCTTGCATATTTTAAAAATGGGTATTCAAATATTTTTGCTAGAAAATTGAGATAATTACAAGAAATTCAGTTTCCAAAGCATCTTAAATATAGTTGAGTATTTTATATGTGCCTAGTGGAATCTCAATGCCATTGCAACACCATTATCAATATCTATTCATAACAATTTGGATATGCCTATCTTTCATAGGCAGAAAGTTTGTTCTATATTCTTTTCTTTCTTAAATATGGATTACAGGTTACCAAGGATCTTAGACAGTGTGTGTATGTTAATTCTATTTTGGACATTTTGGTTTAATTGTTTTCTTGCTGATGGTCAATGCTGGGGACAGGGCTGTTTTCTTGCTGACGGTCAGTGCTGGGGACAGAATGCAGGAAGCTGCCAATGCTGAGAAAACACTTTAGTCCTGTGTGGCACCATCAGTCATTGATTTGTCCATACACCATCCTTTTGTATTTCTAACCAACAATTTTTTCAGACTGTTTTTATTTTGAAATTTAAATTTGGAGTTGAGGGGTGGTTCAAGAGATGAATTGTTGCCATTAGGTCTGAGGACCTGAGTGTGGTCCCTGGAGCTCAACACGGTGGAAAGAGAGAAACATCTCCTGCAGGATGCTTTCTGACCAGTGCATGCTCACTGTGATACTCACACACCACACAAAGTCCATAAATAATGTAATAATGTTTTAAAAATTAAGCTATTTTTTTCTGTGGCCATAATTTTTAAAATATTCTATATTATGTAATATTATAATTACTCATACTATAAATCATATAAACAATCACTTATTGTAAATTTTGATCATCTTTAGGCAGATAAAATATTTTAGAAAGACAAATAAAAAAGACCCCCCCCACACACACACACTTAGTTTGTACATATGTGCTTAATGACTACTAGTTACAAAATGAGACAGATTTTATCATAGATACCACTTCGTTTTAACAATGGAAGTCTCGAGATACTGTTGACAAAGATGAATTAGTGAGAACAAGAGAAGCTGTTTTCACTTTTTGCTTTGTATTATTCATTTTTTTATAATAATGCAGTACCCATTTCCAAACTTCCTTGAGACTTCAAGATCCCCAGTCAAGACAGTCTTTAGCTGACACACTCACTGGTCTTGATTTTGTCTTGAGGCAGAGTTCGCAGCCACACAGCCTGAGAAACCCTGGTCCTGCAGCCCTTGAGCCATCTCCTTGTCAGCACCAACCCAAGTATTTTGTTCTGGTTATTTATATCAGAGATCTTTAGAGTCCTGGGCAAGATGCCATGGGGTGTGAGGTGTGCCTGTTCTTGCTAACATACCACCTGGGTAACTGTGTAGGGGACAGGGTGATGAGAAGCTGCATTCCTGGGCTGAGCTTGGGAAGGGTTGCATCTGGAAGCTGAACTCAGGAAGCTGATGACCCTCTTGTGGTCCAGGACACAAGTCTACTTAACTTCAAGATAACAAAAGCCCTGTAAATGTCCAAAATGCCTCCAGAGGGCAGCACTGTTCCCAAATAGTCTGCCCTTAATCCTTCCACTTATTTCTTGACTGGTGCTCAAACTGGATCCTGGGAGTTCTTGCAAAGACCAGTCTGCCCAGAGATGATGCCCCCCAGACAAGGTGACAATCTTGGCCTCCATTCACTCTGCTAAAGCATCCTAGTCAGAGCCTCTTTCCATGAGTCGTCAACATAAGACCCAGCCATCTCACTAGTTTAATCACCAGAAGTGGCTTTCTCTTTTTCCCCAGACAATGTTCTAGGCACTGGAGATGCACCAGTGAGCAAAACCGACAAGTGTTTCTGTCTACTTATTGCTTAAAAGCTAGTGGGATTGCATTAAGTGTGAAAAATAAAACAAAGTTTTGTATATGTATCTTTTTGTTGTTGTTTTTGTTTTGTTTTTAAGATGGGGTTTCTTTGTGTAAAACTCACTCTGTAGACCAGGATAGCCTTGAAATCACAGAGCTCCACCTGCCTCTGTCTCCTGAATGCGACATTGTTCATGCATCTTTTCAGTTCTTGAGAGGCAGAGCCCAGTGGATTTCTGAGTCCCAGGACAGCCTGGTCTACATAGTGAGTTCCAGGCCAGCCAGGGATAACTAGTGAGATCTTATCTTTAAAAAAAAAAGTAATGAGTGTTATTTGGGGGAAAAAATCAAAGTAAAGGGAATTGAAATTGCTAGAAGATTTTCCTTCTTCAAAAGATTATTATATTTATTCAGTGTGAGTGGGTGGGTAGATGTGTGTGAAGGCACATGGGTCCCACAAGTCAAGATTGAAGGTCAGAGGGAACGCTGAGAGGGGGAGAAATAGTTTTCCCCAGGGAAGAGCACACCAGCTGGTTATTCAATACCAATGGACAGCTCTGAAAACACACACACAGGTAACGTCATACAGACTGAGCAGGTTATATTTAGGAATATCTATGTACATACGTGTACATATATGCATGTTACAACAATTAGTACAAAAAGAGGCCATTAATTTGAAAAAGAGCAAGGGAGATATATAGGAGGGCTGGAGGGGGAAATGATGTGATTATATTATAATCTCAACAATAAAAGAAAAAGAATTTTTTTCAAAGTGTGGAGATCAGACAAGAATGTGCATGGTCTGTTCTCTTCCTTCCAGCAGGTGGGTCCTGGGGATCCAATTCAGGTCACCAGGCTTGGCAGCAACCCTGTAGCTGTGGAGTCAGTTCCTCGCACTCCGTGTTCCTCCCTTCCTTCCTCCTTACCTCCCTCCTCACTCTCTTTCCCCATTCTTGTGTGTGTGTATGTGCGTGTGTGCGTGTGTGCGTGTGTGCGTGTGTGTGTGTGTGTGTGTGTGTGTGTGTGTGTGTGTGTGTGTGTGTGTGTTTAGGTTGAGAGGGTGTTGATTTGCCTGGGTGATCAGGGAAGATCTCTTTGCAAGCAACATGCCTGTCTTGGCTTGGGCTGCAATAACCAATAGCACAGAACAGAGGGCTTAAAGGGCTGATTTTACTTCCTCCCAGCTCAAGAGATGGGGAGTTTGACATCAGGCTCCAGCCTGACTGGACTCTAGTGGGCTCTCTTTTCCTGGCTTTCAGATGACTTTCTTCTGTGTCCTTATTGATATTTCTTCGGAGGACACTAATCCCATCATGAAGGCCCAGTCCTCATGATCTTATCTAAATTTATTCACCCCTGCTCTAACTCTATCTCCAAATACCATTCCGCTGGTGGGGGGCAGGGCTTCAGCATAAACGGGGATCCAGGTCAGTCTGCAGCAACAAGTGAGCAAGCTCTGGAGAGGGTGAACCATCTGAATACTGGAAAGAAGACTTGAGGCACAGCAGCCACCCGATGCAGAAGCCCGGGGTTAGCCTGGCACCCGGTGTATCCAAGCAAGAGAGAGGCCCCTGTGTCTGGAGCAGACGGCAAGGAAACAGGAAACGAGAAGTGAGAGGGTGGGGTCAAGTCAGTGAGCCTTGACTCCGTGGTGAGGACTCCAGCTTTTGTTCTGAGAGAAATGAGGAGCCAATCATTGGAGGCTCTGAGCAGAGTGTGCCAGGAGAGGACAGGCGCTCCCAAGTAGGTGGGCAGCAACAGCCTCTGGGGAACAGTGGGGGCTGGTTTTTAGCAGAAGCCAAGGCAATCCTTCAACAAGAGGGAGGCAGTATGGAGAGTTGCTGGAGGGCTTCTCTCCAGGTCCCACCAAGCCCCGCAGTCCCACAATCCACGAATAAAATAATCACTCAGACGCTTATATTACTTATAAACTGTATGGCCGTGGCAGGCTTCTTGTTAACTGTTCTTATATCTTAAATTAACCCATTTCTATAAATCTATACCTTGCCACATTGCTTGTGGCTTACTGGCATCTTTACATGCTGCTTGTCCTGGCAGTGGCTGGCAGTGTCTCCCCCTCCTTCCTGTTCCCTCAATTCTCCTCTCTCCTTGTCCTGCATATACTTCCTGCCTGGTCACTGGCTAGTGTTTTATTTATATAGAGCGATATCCACAGCAACAGGCATATTATATATCAGGTGCTGGGGATTTGAACTTAAGTTCTTATACTTGCAAAGCAAATGTTCTTATCCACCATGTCTCCCCAACCCTTCAATATGTTTTGAGAGAAGTAAGCCACAGTAAGAGCATAGCAATCATGATTCAAGCTAACTCTAAGTTTGGGTCTATCTTGTTTCCAGATTCAGGCGTGGTGGCGTGGAACCATGGTGCGGAAAGGATTTGGGTCTTTTGAAGAGCTACTAAAAGCCAGAAAAAAAGGAAAAACCTCTCCAAAAGATAAGAAAGGCAAAAAGGCTGCAAAAGGAAAACCTGCAAAAGGAAATAAAAAATAATTGTGTAAATGAATGAATGACGATAAGGATCACTAACAGAGCAGAAAGGCAACATGTCTAGGGACCAGACAACAGCCACACTAAAATCCACCCAGTTCAGGTTATTTGTAATAACAAAAGAGTCTTAATTTTACTGAAATGTTCATGGGAAGAATGACATAATGCCTGGTAACTGCTTCAACATAGCATGCTAGAGGACAGATATGGGGACATGGGTTCAGATGAAGCAAGGCAGGACCCGCCGTGAATTAACATCTGCAGAAGTGGGCGATGAGCATGTGGTGGTCCCTGCATTCTCTTGTCTACTTAAAAACATCTGGGGGAATCATGGATTTACAGGAAGTTCCAGGGAAATACACAAGCATGTCTAATCACCCCTACCTGTGACAGCTTTGCACAACACTAGTTTGAAAATAAGACTAAAAAACTCATTGGTTCAATCAACAGCACTCACTCAGATTCCATCAGTTATGTGTGCATGTGTGCACACGTGTGTGCATTGTGTAGTTCAATGCAATTGTGTCACACATAGCTTTGTACAAACACTGCTGTAGTCAAAGGCACAGGTTGCTCCTCACAAGTCTCCATTGTGACATTCTTTTGTATTCACACTTCTCTCTGTGTACCAAATCCTAACTTACCATCCATTTCCCATCAAATGATAGGGACCTGCAACTTTTCATTATATTTATTTACTCTGTGTGTGTGTGTGTGTGTGTGTGCATGCACACGCATGTATGTGTGAACAAGTCTGCCCCAGCGCACAGAAGGAGGTCACAGGACAACTTCAGTTCTCTCTGTCCACTGTGTGGGTCTTGTGATCACACTCAGATCAACAGGCCTCATGACAAATGCCTTTATTTCACCGGCCCTGGGACTGACTTTATTTCACCAGCCTTGGGACTGACTTTATTTCACCGGCCCTGGGACTGACTTTTTTTTTTTAATTCTTCAAACTTTTATTGATTCCCTGCAGATTTCATATCATTTATCCGATCCCACCCATCTCTCCATTCCTCTGAATTCATCCTCCGCCCTTGCAACCTCCCCTCAAAACAAAACAAAATTTAAAAGAAAAACCAAAACCAAACAGACCAAACAAAACAAAAGGGAGAAGAATCTCGTCATGGCAGCTGTGGTGTGACCCTGAATTTCACACAATTCTCCCCTTAGTCCTTCCATCCTCACTTCCAAGTGTTCATGGCCACGAGTCGTTGGTCTGTTCCGAGGTCTCTGGCCCCTGCTACACCACGGATAATGGGCTTTCCTGGGGCTCCTCTTGGACATCCTGTTGTCCTGTGTCATGGAGATCTGCAGTTTGGGATCTGTAGGTTTGTTTCCTTCTCAAGCTCTAACAGTTCATAGATGAGGTGGATGTTGAGATGGGTCAGTCAACTCAGCCCTGGTTCTGGGGCTGGGTGGTAGCTGGGCTGGTCAGCCCGCCAGCTCTCCCTCATCATCACCACCCAGGTGAGCTCTCCAGCACCACCTCAGCCAGGCCACCCAACACAGCCTACAGCACAGGGTGGGGCCAGTTCTCCTGCTCCCAGACCCTCAGATTCAGTTCACCCAGATGCACACCACCAAGGCTAGCTCCACTGTCTTTTCCCAAGCAAGGTGCAGGGCCCCCTCTCCCAAGGATTGCTGTAGAGGGGCGTGGGGGAGGGGCAGTAGGGTCAGCTCTGTGCTCTCACGCTCTCAGGGCTGGTTCACTGGGTCAGAGAGCACTAGTGTGCTGCCCTGGTGGGGTGCAGGGTCTGCTCTCCTGTGTGCTGCAGCTGGTGAGGGTCAGGGCTAGTTCTCCAACTCTCGTGATCCTGGGCCCGCCCTCTCACCTGCTGCGGGTAGTAAGGGGTGGGGCATCTTTCCCTCACCCAGGCCACCACGTGACAGACAAGGGGGTGGGGTCATCCCTGCTGCTCTCATGCCCTCAGGGCTGGCTCACCTATGACCCAGCTCTAGTGTGCTGCCCAGGTGAGGTACACACCATTGTGAGGGGTGGGGCCATCTTTCCTGATTCTGGGGTCCAGCTCTCCTGCTGCAGTTACAATGACACATCTTCACACAGTGTAAAGGAATATTCCACAGCAAGCGTGTTCCTCACCACCCTCACCTCTTCAGATTCGCCTCTCTCCCTAGCCCATGAACAGCTCCACCTCCCTCTCTCTTCCACATCCCCACCCTGTGCTCGCTCACTGTAACGGTGTCCGACTGTCTGGTGCCTCTGCACTTGGTTGAGTTCGGCTCCCACCAGCCCCATGGCGTGATGCGGAGCTGTTGCTGTTGCTGTCTCTGGCCCAGGGCTAGAGAACCCCCTGGGACTGGCTTGTTACAATGCCAGTAGTTGATTCCTCTTCGCATGCACATGAGTGTGCAGGTGCTTGGGCCCATGATCACACATGCCATGATCTCAAAGGCCAGAGTAGGACACTGGGTGTCCTCCTCTATGGCTCTCCGACTCATTGCCTTGAGACAGAATCTTTTGCTTAACCAGAAGCTCACCGGTTCAGTGGGTCTGGTCAGCTCATGCCCCTTGTTGCTGGGTACATGGTCCAGTCTTGCCATCTGTTTAAGCATTCACTTGTTATTGAAAGGTTATTGATTATGAATAAAACTTCAGTGAATATTCACACATACGTCTTCCCATAAACATAGATGCTTATGAATTCATGGGGGATACTCAAGAGGAAGGAATCCACAGAGCACCCTCTTCTAATGCTCTCAAAAGCACCTCATCCTCTTGACTTTTCTTTTTGAACAGTACTGATTTTAAATGTAACTATCATATTTTAAAATTTATTATTGGAGGAGGCACATGCATGCCATGGTACATGTGTGGAGACCAGAGGACCACTTGCTTCATGTGGGTCTTGGGGATCGAACTAAGATTGTCAAGAACTTTTACAAGCTGAGCCATTACATGGGTTTTGCATTTATACATCTTTAAGCAATCAATGGCTGTTTCTAATTATTCATATAGCATCATGTAGGGAAAAATTGTTTACTTACATGTATCAGAAAACAAATGTATAGCAAACATCCTTGCTATTCGTTGAATTACCTTCTAGGAAATGGAAACGTTTAAAATTTGTGTAGTGTAACACAAAAGCTTTCATTAACAGACAAAAAGCAAGAAATTTCCAGAGGAAATGTTTATTGGAATTTGTTTGTTCTGGCCATAAAAGGTTTATTTTATTTTAGAAAATGCGATTTTTGACACTGTCTTTTAAATTATTGGCTACATAAAACAAATAAAAACAAAAACAACTTACATATGGTGTCATTGTTATTGCGGACAGTTTATACCTAAGAAAAAACTATAACCAGACAAATCTTAGTTTACAATGATAGTCAACAGAGTGCTGGGGGAGGCTCAGTGGATAAAGCACTTCCTGTGTGAGCATGGGAACCAGAGTGGACCCCAGAGCCCACATAACATCCAGGCTCATATAGCAGCACTCGGAAGCAGAGACAAGGAATCCCTGGCTAATCCCTGGCAAACCGGCTGATTGGATGAGCTGGGTTCAGTGAGAGACATTGCCTCAGTAAATAAAATGGAGAGGCAGAGAAGACACCAGATAGCATCTTTGGGCCTCCATGTGCAGACACACTCACACACATACATACACCAACACACATGTGAACACATATACACATGCACACACACCACACACATACATACACATGCAAAGAAGATTATATGAGAATGTTACAGTTAGTGTTTTTCACAGTAGAATTGTATACATAGACATGTGTGTACACACATACACCTTTGTGGAACACATGTAACATATAGGGAAACAAGGCAGAAAATCTCAGAATGATAAATAAATCAGATGCATCACCAAAATATGAACACCTTTGGTGGGATTTCTAAATAGTCAATGGATTAATTATTCATCCCAAACAAACGAAAATTCTGCTCTAAAACATCATCTTTGTTTTTTAAGATATACTAAAGACACACATTATTATTATCATTATTTTGTGTGTGTATATGTGTATGTGTGTGCATATGCAGGTGTATGTGTGTACAGGTGTTTGCTTATACAGGTGTATTTGTGTATATGTGTGTGCATGTGCAGGTGTGTGTGTATGTGTGTGTGTGAGTGAATTAATGTTATGTTTTGTATAGTTCTCTTAAGAAATTGTTCTTGAATGTAGGTTTGTAGGTTCTTAGGAAGGTTGAGAATAGTAATTATAATTTTGTATAGCTCTGTTTATGTTAGAATTATTATGTTAAGTTTGATGCAGTTGCATCAAGAGCTTGCAACTCTTTTAAAATATAAAGAAGAGGAACCTGTTGTAGCCCACTAGGTTTCCTGGTGGCTGTACCCAGCAGGACTGCATGGGAGATTGATTAGACCACGGCCCTGAGTACCAGGTGTCTGTAAGGGTCTAACTAGCTCCACCCCTTGTCATTGTTATAAATAGACCTTTGGAATAAAGCTCTGGGCTGGTGGATAAGGATCCAGGCCCACCCAAGGCTATCCTGTGTTCTCTCTCTGTTTCTGTCCACCTCTATGTCTAACTAAGTCTCTTATCCCTCATTCCTCAGAGTTCCTGGGGTAAATAATTATGAGGGCTAGTCCCCCACAATTCATTTACATTCTTTTGTTCTATTGGAGAAGTGTTCATTCCTTAGGGAGCAGCCTACTGAAACCCACCATGGTCAAACTGAATGCCCCTTCCGTGGTCATGGGTAAAGCAGCATCCTAGTTCCTCCTCTTGTGAGGCTGGGATAGCCCATCTTCTCATCCCTACCTATCTCAGTGACCACAGGAAGTTTGGTCACAGCGCATAGTAAGTGCCTAAACCATTGCCCACAGCCCCGGGACCTCGATGGCCCAAGGCTGATGTCTAGTTCAGTTAGCTTTTTAAGGAAGCAGAGGTTTTGGCAGAAGATGGCCCATCCGGTGTCACAGACGCTGCTGTTGTAGCTCAGGTCAAGCTTCTGCAGCTCGGCTAAGTGGCCTGTCCGCATGGCTGAGGCTGGAAAATAAAATCACTCTAAATAGAAGGATGCTCTCTCCTTTGGCTGTTCCCCATTTTCAGTAATATACCCAGCAGCACCTCTTCTGAGATTAGTAGCAATTGATAACTTACTTTTAGCTAGTGGTCTCGTTTGGGGCATCAGAAAGTATTTTAGTGAGAAACTTTATCTCCATGTATCCCATATACACCTCAAAAATAGACTCACCCCCTTTTCTAGACCCCAACTGGAAGAATTTCATTTTTGCATTAGTTTAAGGTCTTTGCTACACTGGACTGCCTGACCTACTGCAGATATTTCCTAATTAAATGCACAGGATAATGGCTCACTGGCTTTGATTAAGGACCATTTGGTGCACAGCCATCTTACTGTTAAATGCTGACTAGTTATTCATTATTGTTAATTCTATCTAACTATCCATCCAATAATTATTTGACTGAGTACATTTATTTTGGAGGTGCTGGGAGTTGAGCCTGGGGTCTCAAACATGCCAGGTAAGTACTCCACTACTGAGTTACATCACCATCCCTAACAGTAAGTCCAATGTACAAACTGTTCTGTTCACTTTAGAGACTTCTGGTGCACAAGACAGTTTTCTCTCTGAATAGCCTTTATCATATTGTGGCCTAAGGGAAGATGATGCTTCTGCAACAGGAAGTAGGCAAGTTACCCAAGGCAAACGGCACCTGTATCCCTCTTCAGCTGAACCAGGAGAGGGTTAGGAAGAAGAGATAAATGATGCAGAATCTTAGAACAAAGGATCTTGGGAGTCTTTCACCCACCCACAGATCAGTGGTTTGTGGAATATCCCTCTGACAGTCTCTATTGACGGCCACCATGGCCTGTCCTCCACTCCATGCTCTTTCGGCCCATCATGAAGCTGACCTCATGGAAGGAAGCCCTTTTGGGGACCCCGGTCTACCCCACCCCCACCACCTTGGTCAGCTCATCTCGAGGAATACTTGTGGCTCCAGAAATCAGGGAGCTGATAGCAGAGTAGTGATGGGTGTTCCCAAAGCTAGATGGGAGACACCAGGCTTTCCATTGCTCCCAGATGGAGGTGGACACCAGGACTGTAATTCGAGGGGATATTGGGCTAAGGTACATTGCCTGGGCTCTGATAACTTAAATTATTGCTTATTAAATTCTCTTTCCATACTTCTAAACTGCCCTAGGGCAAGTGTCAGGTTTGTGCTACAGTACCTCTTTAAGCCTTCTCATGTCTTTTTTTTTTAAACACAGAAAGAATGAACTTCACTCAAAGCCTTCAGCAAGCTTATATCTGTAATAATTGATACTCAGTTCAATTATGTTGACAAGCTGTTTTCTTTCTCTTTCTTCCCTCCCTCCCTTCTTTCCTTTATCTTCTTTCTTTCTTTCTTTCTTTCTTTCTTTCTTTCTTTCTTTCTTTCTTTCTTTCTTTCTTTCTTCTTTCCTTCCTTCCTTCCTTCCTTCCTTCCTTCCTTCCTTCCTTCCTTCCTTCCTTCCTTCCTTTCTTTTTTTTTTTGACAGGGTCTCTCTGTGTAGCTCTGGCTGTCCTGGAACTCACTATGTAGACCAGGCTGGCCTTGAACCCGGAGTTCCACCTGCTTCTGTTTCCCAAGTGCTGGAATTAAAGCTGTGTGCCACCACCACCTGGTATGTTTTTTCTTTATTTTATGTAATTTTTATGTACTTAACTTTAAAAAATATATTTTTATTGTATATGAGTGTATGTGTCTATGTGGGGCTACCACACCTAACCGCAGGTGCCCCTGCAAGCTGTGGATCCCCCAGTGTGGGCGCTGGGAACCACACATGGGTCCTCTGCAAGAGCATTATGCATTCTTAGTTGTGAGATATCGCCCCAGTTCACTGTCATTAATTTTTTATATTATTAACTTATTTTGAGATGCCAGGGATTGAATCCAGGATCCAGTGCATGCTAGGCAAGAGCTTTACTACTGAGATACAGCCTCAGACCCTTACCCCTTTCTTATTTAAATAAGGCCCCAAAGCATTTTGGAGTCAATTTTGGGGAAAATTAATAGTACCACGTAGTTAGGGCACAGTTAGTGCAAGTAGACTGCAGAGGATGGACTCTGCGACGGGAGGTTGGAGCAGAGTTCCCTCCTCACCACCTTCTTCTCTTCAGAAACACTCTCCCCGGTCATTCGGCTTCAGAATTACATTACTTGGTTTAACCAGATTTTTTTAAAGCTGATACTGGGAAAAAGGAAGCTGCCACAGCCCCAGGTCCCTCAGCCCCAGATCCACCACCTGGTCCCTCAGCCCCTGGTCCACCACCTGGTCCCTCAGTCCCAGATCCACCACCTGGTCCCTCAGCCCCAGATCCACCACCTGGTCCCTCAGCCCCAGGTCCACCACCTGGTCCCTCAGCCCCAG